TTTTTTTCAGCTCAAGCTGTTAAATGTCCTCAATCACTAACCAACAATTTAGAAATCCAAAAAGTTATGAAGATTAATAATTTTCATAAGTTACATGGTGGCAAAACATGACGACCTAAATATGAGGCTTTTTATAGTCTTAGTGTGAAAATTCCTAAGTTCATTAGAGCTATGTGTTTGTTTATAAGAGTACTACCCTTAACTAGCGATGGTACATTACCACTATACAGTACATGCATCCTGTTACCTTTGGGAATTCCCAGTTTTTCAAAAAATTTAAACACATATGGCCCCAATGATTTCAAACTAGGCATGTGGATTTCTAATACATTCTCTGTAGAACCAAATACTGTAAATACAAATAATAAAAAGAAGAATGTCTAAGATTTACGCAGTTCCAATCCAGCCTTGCTATTATCTCTACACTTTAACTCCTTGGGTTCAAAGTCATCACTAGTAGAAGGAACTGGACTTCTTTCCGATTGTTTTTTTAATTTAGTACTTTTAATTTCCTCTCAGCCTGGGGAACACGGCGAAACCCTGCCTACAAAAAATTAGCCAGGTGTGGTGGGCCACACCTTTAGTCCCAGCTACTGGAAAGACTGAGGTGGGAGGATCATCTGAGTATGAAAGGCAGAGGATGCAGTGAGCCTGTGATCCCACCACTGAACCCCCACCTGGGTGACAGTGAGACAGATTCTGTCTCAAAAAAGTAACTGAAAATTATTTTAAATACTGAGTTGAGCAAAAATGCTCATCTTAAACATTTCGGCTGTTTTTCCTATGTTTTATACAGAGCGCTAAAAATCAATGCATATAGAATGTTCACCATTGAAGAGATATTAAATAAAAAAACTTGACCATCTTCACACCAAATACTAGGCAAGAAAGACTGGTACCATGGAAAAAATGCTAGTTTTGTATTCAGATCTGGGTTCAAACCTTAGCTCTGCTATTACAGTTTTATAATAGTAACTTATTCTTTAAGCTTGTTTTGTCATATGTTGATTAAAAAAAACATTTTAAACATTGTATTGTAATTTTCAGATATTTAATTACATGTATGTTGAACAAAAGTGAATGCTTTCCTTATAATATTAACTTCCTGGCCAGGCACGGTGGCTCATGCCTGTAATCCCACCACTTTGGGAGGCTGAGGTAGTGGATCACTTGAGGTCAGGAGTTCAAGACCAGCCTGGCCAACATGGTGAAACCCTGTCTCCACTAAAAATACAAAAATTAGCTGGGTGTGGTGGTGCGCGCCTGTAATCCCAGCTACTCAGGAGGCTGAGGCAGGAGAATCACTTGAACCCGGGAGGTGGAGGTTGCAGTGAGCTGAGATCATGTCATTGCAGTCCAGGCTGGGGGACAAGAGGGAAACCCCATCTCAAATAAATAAATAACTTTGTAAATTAAATTATGTAAGATATCTTTGATGGCTTATCTTTGAAGGAATGATGTCTTTTTGGAGGAAAGTGACATATAATTTAAAAAAAAGCATAGATCCAAGGTTAACTCACACACTCTCTCTCTCTCACACATACACACACACGTAGAGAGTAAGAAAATGAGCCAGTATCATCTACAACCATATTAAACTTGTGTCTTTGTGTACACATTATATTGAACTTGAATTTTCAAGTTTTTAGGTTTTCCTTTTTCAAGTTTCTAGAACTTCTTGAAACAAATTGTTTTGGGGGAGAGAATATTAATTTTTAGAATCCAGGCATGGCCCAAACAATTCTCTTTGAAAAGAAAGCAAACCAGAATCTTGGGAAAGCTGCTAATTCTCAACATTACTTATAAACATGACAAACAATAAAATAAAATTTTTAACAACTTGTAAGAGCTTATGTTTTCACATCTAAATTTTCAATGGTAAGGTTCCTTATAATCTCAAGTGTTAAAAGACAAGGTATCAAGTACACTTAGCTTACAAAGAGAAGCAAAAAGATTAATTTGAGCAATCTGAATCACTTTCAGTAAGGAAGGAGGCTCTTTGGAGAGTGTAACAAAGCTGAATTTCAAGAAATCTGGTTTCTAGTCTGGGCAAGTCAGTAAATCTGAGCTTTCTTTCTCACCTCTTACAAGTAATGGCATTTTTCTTCCTTCCTCACAAAGTTGACTCATGAAAGCACTTTGAAAAGTTAAAAATGTTATACACTATGTTCTTTAATCAGCATTAACTTTAATATTGATTGGGCAGAAGGTACAGTGATCTTGAGGGTGGGGACAAGCAGAACTGGAATTGGGAAATCTAGGTTCTCAGCCCCATGTTTGCACCTGCTAGTGTGTGATGCAATGCACCTCACTTATTCAGGTCCCCATTAAACTGGCTTTAGTAAGTGAGTTTGCCTAAACCTCTTCCCAGCTCCAAGACTGTCATTTTAAGCTATTAATTTGAATCCAAGGTCTAAAATGTTTGAGCTCTCATTTAGAAGTCAGCCACTGCAAAGGGTAAAGACAGCAATCTTGTATGAACAAAGTTACTTAAACATAATGTGCTAGACACAGGTCTATCTAAAATCATGCAGTAGCCAACAGGCCCACCATACCCTTCACTTGGAAATTGATGTTAAGGTGCCATTAGTACATTTCCAAATGCTCTTAAAATGTTTAGGTTCATATTAAAATAAAAACGAATACTTATGGTAAAAAGAGAACCAGAAAAACTGCAAAATTATACAAAGGCCTAAGGACAGAAATACCCCAAAAGAAGACACAGTGACAATTTTTCTAACTTGTGCTTAAGTTGTTTTTATAACAAGGCTGATCATTCTGAAATCAGGTCAGTGTCTATCACATTTTTTTGTTGATGTTAAATGCACTAATGTAATATAGATTCTTCAATTACACTTGGAAACAACAGTATTTCCCTAAGTCAAAACTTTTTTATTGCAAATTTTAACAAACCACCAAACTCAAGTTTAATTATTTCTGCTTTATTATTGGTCGTGAATAAAGACTCATTTTAAAAAATAATTACAAAGAGAATTTACGACTAAAATATATCCGGTAACCAACTTGCTCTGAAATTAATAATTTGAAAATGGCAAAAAAAAAACACACACAAAAAGACAAAAAAACCCCACAACATATAAACATCGCTCTTCAATTAGGGGCAATAAACAAGGTCAAAATTATTTTAAACAACACACTAAGAAAAAGTTGTCCAAAAATCCCAATGCCTCCAAAAACACTGATAGAATGTGCTTAATATATATATCCCCACAGGGTAATATTAAAAATCCAAGTTTCCAGTAAAAATGTTCTGTTCATGTTCCAATACCTAAATCTGGAAAAACAAATTCAGGCAGATGAGATAAAGTCACTACAATAAAATAAAATCAAAACTTAGTTAACTAAACTTTAAAAGGTGGAGAAAAATAACCTAATTTGACCACACACTACTTCCAGAAGACAAAAGATTTAATCCAGATAAAAGAAATCTTTATTTTATTGTCTATTTTACCTGATCCTAAAGGAAACATTCCATTAAGTTGATGGGATAAATCCGTCAAGTTTTATGCCAAAAAAAGTTATGCATACTATACTCTGAAAGAGCTATCCAGACTCCTTGCCAAAAGGCCAGCATACTTTTCACAGTACATATAGTGAGTTACCACGGATACTGGTTGAAGCTGCAGCAGCTCCTTCTCCTCATTCCCACCCTGTGTGTAGGAGTACGCAGTCCCATACCACCACCAGCTGGAGGATGATCTAGTCTGGAGACAGAACAGTGTAGAACAAAACCCTTTCCAGGGTCCCAAACCTCTCTTTAGAACTCTAATTAAAGATACTTCCATTTCCCACACAAGTTGGAATGAAGGGGCAGCAACAACTGTTAAAACATTTAAAAACTAAGCCTTTATCTATTTATTTAGAAAACACACTATGCAAAGAAGCCAATTCCTTACATTAAAAGTAGTATTTATTTGCAACAGCTCTCCTTTTTAAGGCCTCAACAGATTGGACTAAACCACACCCCTCCATAAATGGCACATTCCATACAATAGCCTGGAGGATGGCATAGGACGATTCCACCGACCACTGGGGGAACAGCAAACTTGTTGAAATTCCGAGAATGAAGTCTGATGGTTACCCGAACCTAGCCCTTTTATTACTAAGTCACTCGGGGACGAGAGGTTACAAAAATATCCCGAGACGCGTACGCGGGTGAGAGTGGAACGAGAACCACACGGGATTTGGGCCGTGCTGTTAACTCGCACCTCCCAGAATACTGACATTTCCCCGAGAAAGGACATTTCTAGTCCCAGAGAAAGAGCGAACTTTGGGGTTAACTCTCTCAGAACTCTGAGGTGGGGAGAGGCAGCAGCCCATTTTTCCAGGATCCAGTCCCGAACTCTCACTTTTGCCCGGGGGGAGTAAAAACGGGTCCCGCCCACGCTCGGCCCGATCCGGGAGGCGGGGCCTGCAGCGACCCGAAGTACAGACTCGCGGCCCAGTGGCAGTGCTGCCCCTCCCCCTTTGCCTGGAACACCCCCGTCCGCTAGAGAAATAGGGCTCTGGGCCCCCACCCCCGCGCCTGTCGCGGGGGGAAGGGGCATTACGGGTGCCTCCGCCCCTCCTCGTTGAAGGCGGGGAGTGGAGCTCCAGTCCGCCCGCCTCCCCGCGCTGGCTCCGAGGGGACGGCCCCGAGGAGGTGGGGCCTCTTGGGGGCGCTGACTTCACACCCCTCCCCCTCCGGCCGCTGGCGGTTCAGGGACACCCCGCCCGCTCCAGTGCGACGGGTGGGGGAGGCAACTGAGCACACCGGAGCCCTGCAGCGGCGCGGGGCGGGGAGGGGCGCGCACACGGGCGCGCAGCCGCCACCCCCGCGCGCCAGCAGGGCCCCCCACGCTCCAGGGTGCGCGCGGGCCCCGAAACGAAGGCCGCGCGTGGCACCGGGGATGGACGACTCTAGCTTTCTGTCCCCCACTCTTTCACCACTCGCCCCCAGCCCCCTCCAACCCGCTCCAGGCCTCAGACTCCGCACTGACCTGACAGGCCGCGACATGTTCGCTGTCGAAACAGGACCGAGTCGAGAAGCCAAAGACCAGGACCCCCCCCACCCCGCGCGCTCGGCGCCCCACCCCCCCCGAAGTTCAGCCGATGGGACCGCTGCCGCCGAACCCCGAGCTGCAGGCTTCTCAAACTCCGCTGCTCTTTGGTTCAGGGCCCCTGGAACAGACGAGCCCCCCGCTCCCCCGTCTCTTCAAAATGGATGAATCAAACCAGCCGAAAATGCGCCAAAGCCGCCGTGCAACCAAACACACTAGCGTTTGTTCGCTCCTCCCCAACACGCCCGCTTATTGGCGACTTCTGCCAGATGCGCCCAAATCATTAGCCCGTTTGAATCATCACGTCTCCCAGGCCCCGCCCTGCTCTCTGATAGGCTCCACCTTCACCGTGGGGTCCTGTTAGTCAAGATGCTATGAGAGCGCACGGCCGCAAAACAAAAATGGTCGCTGCTTTGCCCGCCCCCTGGCTTCCACTCCAGAGTTGCAGATTCGTCTTGAGCCGTGTCTTAGAAAGGCTAGAAAAAAAGATTTATATAGGGTTCAGCGTTGGTCAGTGTTAGTTAATAGTGTTTCATCTCGTCTGCCTTGATCACCTAGAAAATCCTCTAATAGCAAAACCCGTGGGGTGGACAGCAGATTCGTCACTAAGGGGCTGCTACAGAATTGGAGGGAAATTCCTTAGGTTCAAAAAATTTGACCTTAAACCTACAAGCCCCTTACCGTGGCTTCAGAATTAATCCTCAGGGACCTAACCAGGCTGCTGGAGTAGAGAGGCAGGATCATAATCAAGGAATGTCTTCATCCCCAATTTCCACTCTCCATTCTGGACCTTGAGATCCACTTCAGGGTCATTAAAGTCCCAGTCTCGTACATTACTATTTTTAAAAAAGAGTCAGGTGTGCAATAATTAAAAGCGTGAGCTCTGGGTCCACAAGATATTTAAGTTGGAATCCCAGGTCCACTACTTAACAGTCGTATAACTTTTCTTCTCTGTGCCTCAGTTTTCTCATCTGTAAAATGGGAAAAATAGTACCTAAAGACATAGGCTTATTAGTATTAAATGAGTTGATATATCTATCAAAAGCCTTTAGGATAGTCTCTGGCTCACAGTAAGTGCTATGTAACTGTTAAATTCAAATTTTAAAAGATGATTCCATTCCTGGGTAGAGATGGGTGGAGCTGGCTCAATTCTATTGATTTACTCTTGTACTTTGAAAAGCAAAACTAAACAAAGACTCTTTCAAGTCATATAACTGAAAATAAGGCACATCATTTCATTTAAATCGTGAACATTTGTTGAATGCCTGACACTGTCAAGGCAGAGCTCAGGATCCCTATGGTAATGGCTAAGGCTGAGCCTGCCGTTGAAAATAGACATCAATCCCTGCCACAGTCAGAATGTTAATAACCCACTGAAGATACACTTCCCAAACAACAACAACAAAACACACCACATCTGCCTTCTGAAAGTTTCCCTTTGTAAAATCTGGCTTCTCGAAAAGAAGAGAATAGCATAGTCCATTAGTGAAGCATTAAACAAATTAATATATTTTGTCTCTTCCATATCATTCCACCCTCTGTCTGCCTTATTTTAATTTTTAATTTTAATTTTTATTTTTTTGATGAGACGGAGTCTCATTCACTGTGCTGCCCAGGCTAGATTGCAGTGTCGCGATCTCTGCTCACTGAAACTTCCACCTCTCAGGTTCAAGGGATTCTTCTGCCTCAACCTCCCGAGTAGCTGGGATTACAGATGTGCACTACCAACTAATTTTTGTATTTTTTAATGGAGACGGGATTTCACCATGTTGGCCAGGCTCGTCTCGAACTCTTGACCTCAACTGATTGGCCCACCTCGGCCTCCAAAAGTTCTGAGATTAAAGGTGTGACCCACAACGCAACACTCGCCCCCATTTTTTAATTGTGGTTAAAAAAATACATATGTGTACCATTTTATCTGACTCTAAGTGTGCAGTCATGCGCATTAACATATTCACATTGTATGCAACCATCACCACCATTCAACACCAGAACTTTGTCATTTTCCCAAACTGAAACTCTGTACCCATTAAACACTAACTCCCCACTCTTCCCCATTCCCCACAGTCCCTGGCAACCACCATTTTACTTTCTGTATGAACCTGACTGTTCTAGGAATCTCATGTTGGTGGAATCATACAGTATTTGCCCTTTTGTGATTGGCTCATTTCACTTAGCATAATGTCATCCAGGTTTATCCATGTTGTAGCAAGTGTCAAAATTTCCTTTCTGTTAAAGGCTGAATAATATTCCATTCTATGTATACATCACATTTTGTTTATCCATTCATCTATCAATGAATGGATGAATGTTACTTCCACCTTATGGCTATCATGAATGGTGCTGCTGGGCAAGCAGGGGTACAAATATGTTTCAGTACCTACTTTCCTTCCTGGATATATACCCAGAAAGGGAATTGCTAGATCATATGGCGATTCTGTTTAATTTTTTGAAGAACTGCCGTAAAGATTCCCCATCAGCTGTATCATTTTACACTCCTACCAGCAATGCACAAGTGTTCCAATTTCCCCATGTCCTTGTCAACTTTTTTTATAATAGCCATCCTAATGAGAGTCCATATATATATATATATTATTATTATTATTATTTTTTTTTTTTTACAGAGTCTAGCTCTGTCACTCAGTCTGGAGTGCAGTGGCATGATCTCAGCTCACTGCAGCCTCCACCTCCCTGGTTCAAGCAATTCTTCTGCCTCAGCCTCCAGAGCAGCTGGGATTACAGGCATACACCACCCCACCTAGCTAACTTTTGTATTTTTAGTAGAGACAGGGTTTCACCATAATGGTCAGGGTGGTCTTGAACTCGACCTCAAGTGATCCACCCACCTCGGCCTCCCAAAGTGCTGGGATTACAGGCATGAGCCACCACCACACCCAGCTCCATATATGTTTTGGCTAAGTTTATTATTATACCTACCATTGTCAGAATGCCAGGGTAGAAACTTGGGTAGCAGAGTGATCACCAAGTAGCTTTTCTGGGGTCTCTTTTATTAGGACAAATTGTTATTATTTTAGCAAATACTATTATTTGGTATTGTGGGATGAGGAAGAGGAATTTTTGTTACTCGTTTATTAGGTAGTGAACAGAAATGGCCATAGTCAACAAGCGCAGGCAGGTGGAAATTTCAGAACAGGTCTTCAGGGCATTGGCCTGATAGTGTAGTGCAAGGCCAATATACAAATGGCCACTGAATGAAGACTCTCCCCCTTCCAAGGTCAGGCTCATATCCTACTTCTCTCTTCACTGCAGCTTCAGCTAATATCTTCCTTCCATTTGCTCATTTATTCACTTAGTATTTCAACCAACACTGTCTCTCAGGGAGGAAATAACTAAAGACTTGAACTTCCAGTTTACTTTTTAGTAGATAAGTACAGAACTATGGCCAGTAGTGTCAAAAGAACGTGGAATGCAGTCTCCAAGGTCAGTTCCCTCTAACCTGTCCCCCAGTAACCTGCCCTGTGTACCTGTCTTATCCACAATCAATTTGCTGGAAACTGAAGAAAGACACTGATCATAGAATAGGTAAGGTTTTAGAAGCACTATGTGATAATGCTGAAGGGACAATGTGTGTAATGAAACTAGGAGAATCTATGAAAGCAGAAAAGGCTCAAGAGAAAGAAAAGGTGGAATTCTTCCTTTTCCCTGGAAATGAAATCTTATGAGCTTTTAAACACAGTGCTTAATTCCCCACTATTATTTTAGTTTTGTTTTGAGAAGTACCATTTTCCTTCTCTTTCATACATGTTAGATAGTAAGAACTGGCAGTGCTGAGATGGTGAGACTGATGAGTCTTCCATATACCCAACAAAAACGTTTTTCCATCAAGGGTTACGCTGTAGCAGCTGGGAGCTTCCGAAAAATCTTTCAGCACTTTGTGCTGGGCACTTCCAGTTCTGTGAACTCATGCAAATCAACCAACCAGGTCTAAAGACAGACACTGCTTCCACTGACCACAGGACCACAGAAGGGTACCCCTCTTTGGAGATGCTGCTAGGAAGTTAAAGCTTCTCTAAGTCCTTTTTTTCTGATTTGTACTCTTGAAACTTCTACCTCCAACCTGCTGGCTCTCTCTGTACCACCATTCTAGAATACAGGATGGGCTAGAAGAACTGGATTAGGTTAGTCTCTCTACAACCCGAGGCCGAGTAGCCTGCTTGGAGATAGGTCCATGATTAAAAAGGATATTTTCCTTGTCTGCATTTTCTCCAGTGTGTATTTCTTTGCTCCAGATTCCCAGCTTCCTCTCTACTTTGAAAATTAAGAGCTAAGCTTAGGTGAATTCGCACCACTAGACAATAAAGATGTACAACTCGATGTCCAGTTTACACTGAAGAAAAATGCCACAAGACTGACTTGCTGTTTTGCTGGACACCAATAAAATCCATAGAAAACTTGCCATTGTAACATTGAGGGAGACACAACTTTATCTGTGTAAACCACTGTCAAATATTGTGAGGTGAGCACTGCTGAAAAGGGAGGCCCCAAGGTAGAACAAAAGGAGCGCTGAACTTGTAATCAAGATTGTCTGTCTCTGAGCTCCGTAATTAACTACCTAGGCGACCTTTAGCAAATTTCAAACTCCCTGTGCCTCAGCTCCTTGATCTGTGTAATGGGGATAATTATACTGGTCCTTATCTACTTCACAGGGTTAGCATAACAAGAAAAAAAAAATGGGCTCACTCGTGAAAGTAGTTTGTAGACCATGAAGCACTGTGAGAGGTAGAATGGGATCACATTCTCTTCACTCAAGGAAAAACCCAAATTCCCACAGCTGATTTATTCCTCCAACAGAACACAACCATCCCTGAATACTGGAAACAGTTAAAATCTGCTCACAGCTTCCAGATGGAGAAAAGGTGCAGTGATGAGGAGCGATGACCATCAGCTTGCAGGACTGGGATGCACTTTCTCTTTCCTAGAGAGAGACATGACATTCTCTACCTCCTAACTATTCCTGGGAGAATTAATCTATTCCAGCCAGGACCGAGTGGGCATGATTTCACTAACTAGTGCTAACCTTTCTGCCTCTGTATGGGTTCCAGCTCAGTATCTCTAACTGCCTAACACGTATTTCCACTTGGATATCAACAAGCTCAATTTATTTATGTCAAAAATGTCATCTTTCCCACCCACATTATTTTTCTGACTCCATTCCTGTCCTCTGTATCATTTTCCCCTGTCAGTTTTATTGAGGTATAATTGACAAATAAAAAATGTATATATTTAAGTTGTAC